GATGTGATGAGTGAGTGAGGAGAGTGGAGTGAAGGAGAGTGTGAGTGAGGGAAGTGTGAGAGAGGAGAGTGTGAGTGAGGAGAGTGGTGATGAGGGGGAGTGTGAGTGTGGGAGAGTGTGTGTGAGGGAGAGTGAGGGAGATGTGAGTGAGGTGAGTGAGGAGAGTGTGAGTGGAGGAGAGTGTAGTGAGGGAGAAGTGTGATGAGGGAAGTGTGAGATGAGGGAAGGAGGGGAGATGAGTGAGGTGAGTGAGGGAGATGTGAGTGAGGAGAGTGTGAGTGAGGGAGAAGTGTGAAGTGAGGAAGTGGGAGGGAGAGGAGGAGAGTGTGGATGAGGGATGAGGGAGAGTGGATGAGGAGAGTGTGATGAGGAAGTGTGGAGTGAGGAGAGTGTGATGAGGGATGAGTGTGATGTGAGGGAGATTGTGAGGAGGAGAGTGTGAGTGAGAAGGTGATGTGTGAGGGGGAGTGAGGAGTGTGGTGAGTGAGGAGAGGGTGATGAGGGTTTGGTTTTGGTGTGAAGTGTATGAGTGAGTGTGAGTGTGGAGAGGTGTTGAGAAGTGTGAGTGAGGGAGAGTTGAGTGAGGAGAGATTTGTGAGGTGAGTGTGGAGTGAGGGAGAGTGTGAGTGAGGGTAGTGTGATGAGAGAGTGTGAGTGAGGGATGTGTGAGTGGGAGAAGTGTAGTGGAGGAGAGTGTGAGTGAGAGAGTGGTGAGTGAGGAGAGTGTGAGTGAGGAGAGTGTGAGTGAGGGAAGCATGATTGAGGGTGAGTGTGAGTGAGGAGAGTGGTGTGAGGAGGGACCATTTGTGTTGAAGGAAATGGTATTGCCTGCTAAAACCTGAATGAACTCGATCATTGATGAACTGTGTCCGAGCTGTCTGAAAGTTACTGCACCACCACACTATCTCCCACCACACTATCTCCACCACACTATCTCCACACACTCTCCCCATCACATCATCTCCAACTACACCATCTCCACCACACCCCTCCCACTCACACCCCCCACCACACTATCTCCACTAAACACATCTCCACCACACCCTCCCACCACACTATCCTCCAACCACACTCTCCCCCATCACACCATCTCCACTACACCATCTCACCACACCCTCCCCCACCACACCCTCCCCAACCACACTACTCCACTACACCAACTCCACCACACCCTCCCCACCACACAATCTCCACCACACCTCCCCATCACATCATCTCCACTACACCATCTCACCACACCCCTCCCCACCACACTCCTCCCCACCAACACTATCTCCACTACACCCATCTCCACCACACCCTCCCCCCACACGATCCTCCACCACACTCTCCAATTGGGACTTCACATCATCTCCACTACACCCTTCTCCACCACACCCTCCCCACCACACCCTCCCCACCACACTATCCCACTACACCATCTCCACCACACCCTCCCCACCACACTATCTCCACCACACTCTCCCCATCACATCATCTCCACTACACATCTCCACTCACACCCTCCCCACCACACCCTCCTCCCCACACAATCTCCCACTACACCATCTCCACCACACCCACCCCACCACACATCTCCACCACACCCTCGCCCACCACACCCTCCTCACCACACTATCTCCACTACAACCATCTCCACACCACACCCCCCCACCACACCATCTCCACCACACCCTCCCACCACACCATCTCCACCACACCCTCCCCACCACACCATCTCCCACCACACCCTCCCCACCAACCCCCCAACCCACAATCTCCACTACATCCATCTCCACCACACCCTCCCCACCACACTAACTCCACCACACTCTCCCGCCCCTTCCATCACCTCCACTACAACCTATCTCCACACACCCTCCCCACCACACCCTCCTCACCACCCACTATCTCCACTACACCATCTCCGCACCACACCCTCCCCACACACCATCTCCACCACACCAATCCCACCACACCCTCCTCACCCACTACTCCACTACACCATCTCCACCACACCCTCCCCACCACACCCCCCCCACCACACATCTCCACTACACCCTCCCCACAAAAACCCCTCCCCACCACACCATCTCCAACTACACCATCTCCACCACACCCTCCCTAGAACACCACACTATCTCCACTACAACCCACATCCACCACACCCTCCCCACCACACCACCTCCACTACACACCATCCCCACCACACCCCCCACCAACACATTCCACTAATAACACCATCCTCCCCACCACACCCTCGCCCACCACCCATCTCACTACACTATCTCCACCACACCCTCCCCACCACACTATCTCCACTACACGATCTCCACCACACCATCTCCACCACACCCTCCCCACCACACCAACTCCACTACACCATCTCCACCACACCCCCCCCCCCCCACCACACCATCTTCACTACCCCATCCCACCACACACCCCACCACATCCTCCCATCCACACCATCTCACTACACACCCACCACACCTCCCCACCACACTATCTAGAACATAAGAAAGGAGGAACACAGTAGGGGCCTGTTTGGCCCATACTAGGCAGGTCCTTTACAATCATCCCCACTAACACTATCCACTAAACTCCACACACTCACAGCACATACACACACACACACACACACCACACACCCACACAATCACCACACACACACACACCCACACACACACACACACACACACACACACACAGCACACACACATATATATGTTGCAGAGTTGCAGAGATTGGTGATGAATTGGTAGGTGTGCAAAAGAAGAAAATTAAAGGTGTAATACGGAAAGAGTAAGGTTATGAGGATAACAAAAAGAGAGGTGAATGAAAGATTGAATATCAGATTGGAGGGAAGAGTATGGAGGAGGATGAACGTATTCCAGATTTTTGGGAGTGGACGTGGTCCAGGCGGATGGGGTCTATGGAATAGATGAGGTGAATCATAGAATTGGCTGAGGGAAAAAGAGTGAGTGGGTGCACTAGTGAAGTCGTGGGAGACAAAGAACTTTGTCCTTGAAGGCACAGAGGGGAATTATGAGAGTATAAGTTTTTACCAATGCTCCTTATATGGGTGTGAAGCGTGGGTGATGAATGTTGCAGCGAGGAGAAGGCTTGGGCAGTGGAGATGTCAAGTCTCGAGGGCAAGTGTGGAGTGACTATAATGCAGAGATTCGGGTAGTTTGGAAGTTAGGAGAGGTGCGGGATTACCAAACCTGTTGTCCAGAGGGCTGAGAAGGGTTGGTTGATGTGGTCGGACATGTAGATAGAAAGAGCGAAACAGAATGACTTCAAGAGTGTATCAGTCTGTAGTGAAGGAAGCGGGTAGGGACGGCCTAGGAAGGGTTGAGGGAGGGGGTAAAGGAGGTTTTGTTGCGAGGTAGGGCTTGGACTTCCAGCAGGCATGCGAGCGTGTTATAAGGAGTGAATGGAACCAATGGTATTTAATACTTGACGTCTGTTGGATGTGAGCAAAGAAACATTTTATGAAGGGATTCAGGGAACCGGCAGCCGGACTTGAGTCCAGGAGATGGGAAGTACAGTTCTGCACTCTGAAGAGGGTGTTCAAGTTGCCGTATAAAACTGTAGTGGTAAAGCACCCTTCCTGGCAAGACAGTGGATGGAGTGAATGATGGTGAAAGTTTTTCTTTTTTTTCGGGCCACCCTGCCTTGGTGGAATCGGCCGGTGGTGAATAATAAAATAAAACATTATATATATAAATATATAAATAAATATATATAATATAATATATATATATATATATATATATATATATATCTATATATATATATTATATATAATATATATATAAATGTCTGCCGAATATGAAACCTGGTCAATTAGCAAAACTCAATTAAAATTAAGTCCTTCCTGAAATTTTCTCTTAAACGTTTTAAAGATATATTTTTTTCATTAATGTTAATGAAAAAAATTAATTTTGCACCAAAAGAACTTAGAAAACTGACCTAACCTTATTATAAATAGAACCATTTATTATTAGCCTAACCCAACTTAAATATATTTTAAATACGTTTACAATAATTTAATACTAAACCAACCCAATCAAATTATATTTTTTTCGTTAGGTTCAGAAATATTTTTGGCGAAATTATTGCATACACAAATTTTTCCCACTTGTCCAATATGGCAAGATGCGCGATTGCTATTTAAGCAAGATCGCAGTTCTGCCTATTCGTAACACGACAATATTATATATATATATATATATATATATATATATATAAATATATATATATATATTATATATATATATATATATAAAAATATATATATGCAATTTAGATCAAAGTAAACAGGTGATTTCAGAAATAGCAAAACCAATCCACATTGAAAGAATATAAATCAATATATATTTATATATATATAAATACACACATATATTGAAAGAAATACACCTCACTGTATTTATGTTCTATGAACCTTGAAGTATAGCAAAATCCCATTTTATTAATATTATTAATTATTATTATTATTAATTAGTTTCCTGTTTAATAAAATTTAAACCAATATACCCATCCATAGATAAAAGAACCGGATATTTTCTTGTCATTTCTGAAGTAATGGCCTTGAGCGTCCTGACTTCTTCATGTTCAGGAAGAGCTACATTTTACGGTTCCATAATAATAACTCTTCTTTTTTTTCAATATCATCATTTTAAACTTCTTTCTTTCAGAAAATAAACAATAAAAATTGAAGACGAGACTCTCATGGCATCGTTTAAAATGTTGCTAGTAGTCCTAAATTACAGTGAATTTACTATTGTAACCTAACTCAATTTAACATGCAACTTGTATGTGTAAACCGTTTGTCAAGGAGCCAGAGACATAGAGTTTTCCGTCCTCGTGATGCGGTCTTATTCACATCAAACTGCCTAATCTATGCAAGATCCAACCGTTGTACAACCATGTCCAAAATTAATTTTATAGTACTGTACACACTGTGATTAAATAAAATCACACCTGCAGCAAACATTGCAATGACTGCTAATATGGCCACAGAGCGCCATGACACAATACTCAAAGACCCTCGGAAACATCCCCACACACGATACATCTTACATCGGCTCAAGCGAGGTCAGAATCTGTGATCATCTACATCAGTCATGATCTGTTGGGTACACAACAAACAAAAAACAATTTTTTAAAATATTTTGCTTTATAAAAAAAATAAACTTGTACTATATAAAAGTTAATAACCAAAAAAAAAAAAATTAAGAGTAAGCCATTTATGAAAATAGGGATGTCCAGAGGCTAGTAACATGAAACTGCAGCAATAGCTTGTGAGAAGACAAGCGAGGGAATAAATGCAAGAAACACACAAAGACATATAAAAAATTGATGACCTGAGAGAGGCATACTTAAATGGAGCTGCTTGTGGGCTTGTTATGATTCCTTTTCCTCCAAGGCATTAAATAATGAAAACAGTTTCCCAAATTAGAATATATGCAGAGATCATATACTACAACTCTATTATTACCGTCCCTTTTAAGCCTCGTATAAGAATATAGATTGATTGAGAGTATCACGAAGCTCATGTCCGAATATAAATGGCATAACCATTGGACAATGTGAAGGAAAAGACACACTGCAGAAACAAGCCATGTTTTGGACAATGACACAACTGAATAAAGCTTTATCAAATCCATAACTTATTAAACAAGGCTGTGGATCGGCGTCAGAAGTGCCATAAATAAAGGAGCGGGGTCGAAGGTCTTTGTGTGCCGACTCCACAGCCCTGTTGACAACAACCTGCCTGAGGACATTGTATGGTAAATTTAGAATTTCAATAATGCGTTTTAAGTCCTCCTAAAAAGTAAATGCGGTATTAACCAAGGGCTGTGGATTCAAATCAGAAGCAGTTTTTGGGTTACTGGAGATGAGTTGGTAAAGAAATCAAGGAGTCGGAGATTGAAGTTTATTATGGTGCCAAACTCCACGCCCGCTTATTAAGCCTACAAATGAAAACTTTGTTTCATTAAAAGCTTCCACAACAAGTCCTTTTTCTTCATGGTGTCCCAACTGTATTTGCTGTTCTAGAGTGCCATACCTGAATACCTGGCATGAAAAATATATATACATTTAATGAGCCCATTCACTAGCTATTATTTTAATTTTTACTACAAAACCTTTGATTTAAACCAACATTCATTCACCTCTTCACACAAAGTCAAAATTTGTAGATATATCAGAGCAAACGCCTTTCATAATAGCATTTGCACTATAATATAGCTTTACTTCCAGAAACATTTGGCTCATGTACTTGCTTGCCTCTATCTATTTATAAAATGAATCCCTATTCTTTTCATGTCTTAATACTCAGTAAGGTCAGATCTTTAGAAGTAAATCTTGATTTAAGAGACTAACAGGGAAAGCAGATGGCTGGTAATTGCATTAGTGTGGATAGAGAATGAGATTCTTTTGCTGTGGACTTTACAATAACAGACAATTCTGTAACCAATGAACTGTATAGTGGCATTTCTGACAAATTTCAAATTTAGCTACAATATCCATATAAACAGAATTAAGGTATAACAGTGACCCTTGAATTATCAACAAATGTTTTTTTTGGTTAATACACTTGGGTCTCTGGAACGATTAACTGGATTTACATTATTTCTTATGGGGAAAATGAATTTTTGGTTTCGTGAATTTTGGTTTTCGGCAGACTCTCTGGAACGAATTAATCATCAAAACCAAGGGTCCACTGCATGACGTAAAAAATAAATATCACCATTTTAAATTAAAACTTGCTTCTCTAAACATTATATGGAGAAAACTGTTTCAAACTCAACTGACCAAGCCTATTTAGTGTCAAATATCTGATTGTCCATTAAGTCGTGAGTTTTCACTGAGAATTTTAATATCAAAGTTTGCACTAAGTGTGCAAATAAAGAGATAACAACAATGGAGCTTGATAAAGCTCCTGGAGAGTGAAACGTTCCACAATAAACTGTTCACATCAGTTGCTCACTTGCGTCTTTTACCTAACAGATAAGAAAAGCAAAGCAGTAATTTCAGATTTACAAGCCATAATTTCTCTCTGTTGTCACATGAACATTCCTCATGAAATTTAATCATACAGGTTCCCTCCCCTCCTCAAAAAAAAGGAGACGCAAAGATAAGGTTTATCATAGAACCACAGCTGTACCCAACCTTTACCCTTGTGGCAGGTCTCGTGATACAATTACTCTAAAATGTTTTCAGCCTCCTCTCAAAAGTGTTGCAGCTCAGACACATTTCAGTAACATGGCTGTTGTTGCAGCTCGTGGATCTGAGAGATATGAGTCTGGATTATTTGAAGGGAAAAAACGTAGTTGATAAAGTAATGTTATGCAAAATTTAAAAAAAAGTAAGATCCTTTGATTATTAATATTGTCTTGAGCACAGGGTGCTGAAATCAATAAAATTTCTATCATTATCAATTTGCTATTATAGTGGCCCATTAGCTGTAATCTTGCAAAACTTATCAAAATAGTAATTAAATAAATCAAAGCTGAAAAAATTCCTTACAAAACTATCAATAACTATTCAATATGATAGGTCAAATGTCACATTACAGATTATGATCACTGTATGAGGAGGCTCTAAACCCATAGGAGTCATACAATGTCTGGGGAATGAGAGGTAATCAGGGAAGAGGAGGGGAACTCAAACTCCTTGGATGAAGAGCCCTTCACCATCTTCAAGGAACTTCCCTGAAGGATCACTTTAACAGTAATCATTGCATCTAATCAAGAATTTCCTGCTTAACTTTGATTTACAAAAATCACAAATAAGTTTTTAGACAGAAAAAACACGCCCTTATATGCCAGACTAGAATTAAGCAATATAGAGCAGCACGGAAAATCATGATAACACGATTGCAAACAAATCACAGTAATCTACCTATGGCGAAAAGGTCGCTCAAATTTCTTGAATCAAGAACCACCCGCCCTCCTTAAAAAGTAAAATGAACTTTGGATACCCCAGTAAAGACAACGTGTTTATTTATGGCTCCAACCATCACGTCTCAGCATCTCTTACCAACCAACCCTCAATCAAACTCTTAAAATTACACTGAAACGTAAACTAAAATAAAAAATAAATTCACCCAGTAAGACTCAAATGGCACAATACTCGTCCGAGTATTTATCACTCAGACCAGCTGGAGGTGTGTTACGCATCATACCTCCGATTCTGCAGAAGTGGAATAGCGGAAGAGTAAAAGTGACGAGTGTGATAGGTAGTAATTACCAAATAACGAGGCTGCTGCAGCAAGCTGACACTAACACCAGGACTGTTGTTGTCCTCCCTCTGAGGTCCAAGTTAACCTCACACATGGAGGGAATCTTCACACTTGTCAAAGTTGTAGAATATAATTAAATACACCAGGCAAAAACACACAACCAAATCTAAACTAAACATACAGATTTAGCGTAATCGAAACACCTTTACTTCGGTATATTTCTTTGCATAGTGTAATAAAAAATTACTTGTATGCAACACCGTATATGATGCTGCTAAGACATTGTAACATCCGGTATGATATTTGGGTACTTAAAAATGGGAATTTGTAGTCGGCGTCTCATTTCAGACCTATACAAAAACACTCATATTATATTCTTGTTATATATAATTAAAAAGGTCAATAATGAGAGAGGCTGGATCTGATGTGAACTTACACATGAATTTATAGGGGTTACAGAAGCTTATTCTTTGGGCTGCATGAAAAATGGGTTGGTAAATATTTTGTAGTGGGTTTGTCAGTAAGGCCTGCTGCAGTGCTGCTAACGTTCTAGGCTCTTTAACTGTTGCTATAAAATACAAATTTATGACAATGGTCCTCATGACGGCACTGACTTTTCTTGGGTTATCCCTGGGAGACTTAACATCCAGGGTTAAAAATCCGAGAAAATCTATTCTTAATGATCTATCACTTGATTGTTTGTTATTTATTAATTATTTTAATTTATTTCCAATTGTGTGCAACACATAACAGAGGTACAAAAAAAATACAGATACATCACATGCCAAAGCCACTTATACATGCATACATTATACGGGCTAGCTTAAAATTAACTTTAAGATTAACTAGGCAATGATTATTATTATTCATATAATCAAAAGAAGCGCTAAGCCACAAGGACTACACAGCGCTGCTACTAAGCATGATGAAATCGTGATAAAACCATTAATGTAAACAGATAACTATAAAGGCACAAGTGAGCTTACAAAGACAGGTCATAGGTTTGGCATTCAGTTAGGTAGTATTCTGTTAGGGTATGTACTTAAAAAATAATAAAGTTAGATTGGGTTTAGTTAACATGTTGTGTGATATAATTGTGAAAACATTTAAGATATACAAGTTTATAATGTTCAGTTATTCAGTATTTATTTGGTTTTGGGTGAGTTAAGTAACTTTGAGAAGAGACTTGAATTTAAAAACAGGTAGTGTGTTCTTTTATTATTACAGGTAATGAATTCCAGATTTTAGGGCCTTTATGTGCATTGAGTTTTGCATAGTGTGATATGGACACGAGAACATCAACGAGTGATCTGTGCCTTGTGTTAATGGTCATGTGTTCTGTTGAGTTGGCAAGGAGATGTTTGAGGGAGGGTAAATCAGAGAGTAAAGTGTTCTATGTATGTAATAAGGTGCAGTAAAAAGTAATGGATGTTTGTAAGTGAGTAGGTAGTGTATTGAATAATTGTGGAGTGTGCTGCCTGTAGTGAGAATTTGTTAATCATCTAACTCAGCCCTATTGTTGGGTAATTAGTGTTCCAAAAAAAACGAATTTCTGATTTTTTCACACCACACATTGCTCTCAGACATGACATCTCCACTGCCTCCAGCCTCTCCTCGCTGCAACTTTCCCCATCACCCATGCTCACACCCATATAAGAACGTTGGTAAAACTATACTCTCATACATTCCCCTCTTTGCCTCCAAGGACAAAGTTCTTTGTCTCCAGAGACTCCTAAGTGCACCACTCACCCTTTTCCCCTCATCAATTCTATGATTCACCTCATCTTTCATAGACCCATCCGCTGACACGTCCACTCCCAAATATCTGAATACATTCACCTCCTCCATACTCTCTCCCTCCAATCTGATATCCAATCTTTCATCACCTAATCTTTTTGTTATCCTCATAACCTTACTCTTTCCTGTATTCATTTCAATTTTCTTTTTTTGCACACCCTACCAAATTCATCCACCAATCTCTGCAACTTCTCTTCAGAATCTCCCAAGAGCACAGTGTCATCAGCAAAGAGCATCTGTGACAACTCCCACTTTATGTGTGATTCTTTATCTTTTAACTCCACGCCTCTTGCCAAGACCCTCGCATTTACTTCTCTTATAACCCCATCTATAAATATATTAAACAACCACGGTGACATCACACATCTTGTCTAAGGCCTACTTTTACTGGGAAATAATTTCCCTCTTTCCTACATACTCTAACTTGAGCCTCACTATCCTCGTAAAAACTCTTCACTGCTTTCAGTAACCTACCTCCTACACCATACACCTGCAACATCTGCCACATTGCCCCCCTATCCACCCTGTCATACGCCTTTTCCAAATCCATAAATGCCACAAAGACCTCTTTAGCCTTATCTAAATACTGTTCACTTATAGTTTCACTGTAAACACCTGGTCCACACACCCCCTACCTTTCCTAAAGCCTCCTTGTTCATCTGCTATCCTATTCTCCGTCTTACTCTTAATTCTTTCAATAATAACTCTACCATACACTTTGCCAGGTATACTCAACAGACTTATCCCCCTATAATTTTTGCACTCTCTTTTATCCCCTTTGCCTTTATACAAAGGAACTATGCATGCTCTCTGCCAATCCCTAGGTACCTTACCCTCTTCCATACATTTATTAAATAATTTCACCAACCACTCCAAAACTATTTTCCCCACCTGCTTTTAACATTTCTATCTTTATCCCATCAATCCCGGCTTGCCTTACCCCCTTTCATTTTACCTACTGCCTCACGAACTTTCCCCACACTCACAACTGGCTCTTCCTCACTCCTACAAGATGTTGTTCCTCCTTGCCCTATACACGAAATCACAGCTTCCCTATCTTCATCAACATTTAACAATTCCTCAAAATATTCCCTCCATCTTCCCAATACCTCTAACTCTCCATTTAATAACTCTCCTCTCCTATTTTAACTGACAAATCCATTTGTTCTCTAGGCTTCTTAACTTGTAATCTCACTCCAAAACTTTTTCTTATTTTCAACAAATTTGTTGATAACATCTCACCCACTCTCTCATTTGCTCTCTTTTTACATTGCTTCACCACTCTCTTAACCTCTCTCTTATATATATATATATATATATATATATAAATATATATATATATAATATATATATATATATATATTATATATATATATTATATATATATATATATATATATATATATATATATGCTGAGAGTTTAAATCCCTAAAATAGTGATTAAATAATTCTTGCCTGAAGGTAAGAAGGTTGCAGCCTCATGACTCTAGTTTAGTCGATAGGCTTTAAATCCCATTAATCAACCAACCATTAAAGAGGTAATGGTTGCATGTAGTGGTTATGGTTGCGTATAGTAAATTAAGAAGAAATGATCCTTCGATTACCAAAAAAATCAAATAATGTGACTTTTTTTCAACTAGGTCCTTGAATTCCATCCGAAATTTATCATTACCTCAAAACATATAATTTTTTTTCTGTTGTTTTCTGTTGTCCTTTGCAAGATGATTATTGTTTTTTTTTCTGCAGGAGAATATCAGACATTTTTTCTCTATGTATGAATGTCTTGTTATTTAATTCATGCAAGTATAATGCTCAATTTTTTTTTACCTAGAAAGTATTCTCGCCTTGTTCTCACGACCTTGTTGTGTTCTTTTTGTGAGATTTACTGTTCTCCCGTTAGTGTGGCCCGTGAACGACGGCCCCCAGCGGTGGTCCATGTGTGCTGAGGGCCCGTGCTCCTGCACTCTGGAGACCCGTTTCGTCTCCTGCTGGAGACTTGAGCTTCTCCATCACGTTCCTCGCAAGCAACAGATTCCTGCCGACACCCGGAGTCTGTGAGTATCTGTGAAGGGTATAGGCATCCACGACTGTGCTGGTCACGAAGTTTGAGAGTACCTCACTAGAGACGAACATGACTGTAAACACTGTGTGCTGGTCACGAAATCTGAGTACCTAACATATCTAGGGTAAACACTGTCAGGGTTTGTGCTACTGTGCACTAGTTGCGTATGTTGTGAATAGTGGCAGAGATGGTTCTGACCAATGACGAGATATATGGAAATAGGATATACAGGATATAGATATATAGTGTGATAAATACAGGATTGGCCGGGCGATATATGATAGTTCGTAATTAACAAACAATATAGGTAGGTAGAAAATTTCAAAGAAACTTTCGGTTTGCTCCTAGACCATCATTGAATCGAAAGTGAGATAAAGAAAAGTGTGAGAAAGCTAGACGACAAGTCAGCTAAGAAAGGTAACAAAAAGAGACAAGCAGGGTCTTGATAATGACCCAGGAGGGACCGAAACATCTTCACAATCGTCCAGAACGGACCGAAACGTCGGCTGTGGGCATTACAGCCACATTAGTGTGATTTTTGTTCTTAACGAATGGATTACAAAGAACAGTAATAACAATCTGGTTGATCAGGCTCTGATCCACCGGGATACCTGGTCATGGACTGGGCCGGGGGGGGCGTTGACCCCTGAACATCCTCCAGGGAGACTCCAGGCAACAAAAGCTGAATAAGTGTAATATAATGAACAAAAGTGAACAAGCCTTTCGAGGTGAACAGTTAAGAAGTGAACACTAATGATTTATCCTAATCATTTAATTAAGGATGATTATTAAGAATGATTATTGTACATGTAATATTCAGGAAGCGCTAAACACACAGGGGAAAAAGAGCGATAATCAGGTTTGATCCAAGGAAAGAGAGGATAGATCAAGTCCCTTGAAAAAGGATCTGGACAAATACAATGAGTGATGAATAAGAATGATGAATATTATGAGTACTATGTGAATGATGACAGATGGTGACCATCATGAGCATCATTACACAGAAAATATGATGACTAGGATGATCAGGATGATCAGGAAAATGATGAATACTGGTGTGCACGACGAAAATGATGACTAGTGATGATTATGAAGAATTCTGTCGAGCATGATGAAGGATAATGAATGCTTTGAACATGATTAATATAATGAATAAGAAGAATATGATGAAAAATATTTGAACGATTATGATTTCTGTGATGAATATAATGAATACGAACATAAAAAGTATAATGGCTGATGATGATGATGATGATAATAATAATAATAATAATAATAATAATAATAAATAATAATAATAATAATAATAATTATTAATATTATTTTATATTATTATTATTATATTATTATTTCTATTATTATTATTGTTATTATTATTATTATTATTATTATTATTTATTTCTTTATTTATTTATTTATTTTTTCAGAGACCTTGGGATGAATAGACTTAAAGCTCTACATAAAGACTCCTTCAATCGTCTTACCCAGCTTGTGGAGTTGTAAGTCCATGTTAAAGACCCCTTTGTTAAAGACCCTCTTGTTAAAGGCACTCTTGATCGAGGATTTCTTGTTAAAGACTCAAATTTTTAAGGCCCTCTTGTTAAAAGCCTTGTTAAAGACCCTCTTGTTAAAAACCTTGTTAAAGACCCTCTTGTTAAAAACCTTGTTAAAGACCCTCTTGTTAAAAACCTTGTTAAAGACCCTCTTGTTAAAGACCTTCTTGCTAAAGACCTCGTTAAAAACATTCTTGTTAAAGTCCTTCTTGTTGAAGACCATTTTGCTAAAGACCTTCTTCATAATGACCTACTTATTAAAGACCCCCCTTGTTATAGACTTAATTCTCAAAGACCCTCTTGTTATTATTTTTTATTATCACACTGGCCGATTCCCACCAAGGCAGGGTGGGAATTTCCAAAGACCATCTTGCTAAAGACTATCATCTTTAAGACTCTCGATTATGTCGCTCAAGTCTAAGTTTTTTAGCTCTAAGTCCCTCATAAGTTTAAGTCCCTCAATTCTAAGTTCCTCAGCCAGTATGGCTATTAATATGTCCATGGGGGAAGCGCAAAACTCACATGGGGGGGGAGTCATACAGCTCCCGAGGAATAACAAAAACCAGTTAGCTGCATTTCCCTGGATCAAGATGCTTTCACAAGCATCAAGTCAACCCATCCCCTTGAAAGGTCCTCTATTCTAAAGTCCCTCTTACTTCAAACTTCTAAGGCCTTCAAAATTTTCACTATAATATCTTTGGCTCTCCCGACCAGAGACCTGAACGACAACAGCCTGGAGCTACTACCCAACAGTCTCTTCTACGACCTAGAGAACCTGCGTCACATGTAAGTACCTACTGTGACTGCTGTAAGTACCTACTGTGACTGCTGTAAGTACCTACTGTGACTGATGTAAGTACCAACTGTGACTGCTGTAAGTATGTACTGTGACTGCTGTAAGTACCTACTGTGACCGCTGTAAGTACCTACTGTGACTGCTGTAAGTACCTACCATGACTGCTGTAAGTACCTACTGTGGCTGCTGTAAGTACCTACCATGACTGATGTAAGTACCTACCATGACTGCTGTAAGTACCTACTGTGACTGCTGTAAGTACCTACCATGACTGCTGTAAGTACCTACCATGACTGATGTAAGTGCCTACCATGACTGCTGTAAGTACCTACCATGACTGATGTAAGTGCCTACCATGACTGCTGTAAGTACCTATCATGAATGCTGTAGGTACCTACTGTGACTGCTGTAAGTACCTACCATGATTGCTGTAAGTACTTACTGTGACTGCTGTAAGTGCCTACTGTGACTGTTGTAAGTACCTACCATGACTGATGTAAGCACCTACCATGACTGCTGTAAGTACCTACTGTGACTGCTGTAAGTACCTACCATGACTGCTGTAAGTACCTACTGTGACTGCTGTAAGTACCTACCATGATTGCTGTAAGTACTTACTGTGACTGCTGTAAGTGCCTACTGTGACTGTTGTAAGTACCTACCATGACTGATGTAAGCACCTACCATGACTGCTGTAAGTACCTACTGTGACTGCTGTAAGTACCTACCATGACTGCTGTAAGTACCTACTGTGACTGCTGTAAGTACCTACCATGACTGTTGTAAGTACCTATTGTGAATGCTGTAGGTACCTACTGTGACTGCTGAAAGTACCTATCATGAATACTGTAGGTACCTACTGTGACTGCTGTAAGTACCTACCATGACTGCTGTAAGTACCTACCATGACTGCTGTAAGTACTTACCATGACGTGTAAGTACATAC